GAATTAACATTCCTAAAGCATAGGTCTAATTGTGGCATTCTGTTGGCTCCCTATGATCATTATGATAAAAAACAAACTTTTGTTTGGTATTCAAGTTTATCTTCCTGGACTATCACATTTTTGTTCTGAACTCATGCAGTGTTGTACTGAAATTGGCTTATATGTGATTCCCTGTATACCACATTTCATTTCCTGGGCTCCAAACATTTTAGGCTGTCCTCCATATCTAGAATGATCTCCCATCTCTACTCTGCCTTTAAGAATGCCCAGAGCTTGTCTAAGCTCAATTCAGGTGCCACCATCATATTACTTGATGTCCCCAGTTGTTAGTGGTTTTTCCTCAAATTACTTTGCATAGGTCTTTTATTCGCTTATACGGATATGTTGTATCTACCAGTAGAATGCAAGCTCATTGAGGTTAGGGAAAAGTTTTTTTGTGTGTCTTTGTATCTCTAGTGCCTTGTAACAAGGTAGGCACTTAATAACTGCTTGTTAAATTAAAAGAGCCTCCATAAGATTATACAAATTGATTTATATGCTCTTGGCTGTCTACATCTCTTTGCTTGGCAAGAAAATCAAGTGTGTATTGGTTGATGTGGTTTCAGATTCTTTTATTCTTGTTGTAGAAATTGATATTGTTGTTATTTAGTTGTTTCAGTCATGTCTGAGTCTTTGTGATCCCATTTGGGGTTTTCTTGGCAAAGATTCTGGAGTGGTTTGCCATTTCCTTCTGCAGCTCATTTTGCAGATGAGGAAACTGAGGCAAAGAGGGTTAAGTGACTTGCCCAGGGCCACACAATTAGTAAGTGTCTGAGGCCAGATTTGAACTCGGGAAGATGAGACTTCCTGACTCCAGGCCCGGCATTGCACCACCAAGCTCCATCATTCAACTTCTTAAGAAATGATGACTGTCTCTTTTGATGGTTTTTTTTCATATCTGTTTCCTTTTTTTTTTTTTTTTTTGGTGTCAACCGCTTATTTAAATCCATCAGTTTAAAGCTGCTTCAGTAGGATACTTGATCTTCTCATTTTTATTCTTTATTATAATTTAGTATTGATTTTGATCTTTTCTCTAATAAGTCAGTGGTCAGGCTATTCAGAAGGCTGATTAGAAAATGATTCCCATATCAATAACCAGTCATTTCATGTCCACTAAAATAGAGTCAATTTAATTTTTGTGATATTTTGTGCTTGCCATTAGAGTACCTCTCTTCTTGAAGGAAATATTTGTGATATATAGTTGTAATACTTCAGTACATTATGCAAGTCTTTGGCCTCTCTTGTTTTTTATTCCAGAAAAAAGTATGTGTATCTTGTTACTTTAAAAGAGTTCAAATCTTTAGGCTGAGATGAATTGCATACCAGGGACCTGTAAAAAATTCTTTGAGTAATCTCTGAGCAACTGTAGAGAAGACCGTATATAGAAGACTGAAGACAGACACATAATATCCTTATCTTCAGAATAATAGGTAGCATTTATGTAGCATGTTAAGCACATCAAATGCTTTACATATGTCATCTCATATGTAATCCTCACAACATCACCTTGAGAGTTACAGTTGAGGGAACTTGGGCTGAAGTGGATCAAATGACTTGTCTAGAATCACTGGGCTAGTAAGTATCTGAGGTAGGCCTGAAACTCAGATCTTGCTGAAATCCAAGTCCAACACTATCTACTGTGCCACTTACCTGTCCCAGAGACTGCACTCCAGTGAGCTTGAATAATTCCTGGAAAAATTCTAAAATGCATTGTTAAATACTTTGTGAACACTCTGGAGCGCACTGTTCATTAGAATCCACAGAGATGACTAAGATTAGGCTATGCCAGACCTATATCTGGCTTTTACAGAGTTAGTAGCCTGATATATCAAGATGATATTGTACATATAAAAAATTATATATATATATATATAAATTACACATATAATTTATATATAGTTCTATTTATTTATATATGTTATAATATATGTTATATATGTTTTATATATATATATATATATATATATATATAAAACATATATATCCTCTTTGTATCCCAAGATGATAAAATAAATACTATCAAATTTTTGATGGCCAAAAAAGCATATGAATAAAAAGAGTGTGTATGTATATGTTTATACATTATATATATATTATATTATGTTATAAATGTATTACATAGCCTATATTATATTATAATACATTATATATGTATTATATACACACACACATACATATATACATTTATATATATATATATATATAGATACATACATACATATATATATATAAGTTTACAATATTATCTTAATATGCCAGGTTGGTAAACCTGTAAAAGGGTTCCTATATATGTATAGTTTATATAAAATTATATATATGTACATATATATAATTTACATATATAAAGTAAAAGATTAAAAGCTCTATTTTGATGAGTTGAGAGAATTGTGGGCCAGATACACTTATCTGGATTCCTAGCTGGCTGAAAAGTATAGGAGAAAGAATTCTGCACTGGATGTTTAGGGACCATGGGCTCTGCTCTTAGGTCTGCCTCTGACTAGTTGTGCTACTTAGATTTTCTAGTTGTACTCAGTGTGAAATACTGCTCTTTGCTAAATCAAATGTAAAAGAAGGGAAATTCTGCTTTCGTTCTTCTAGTTTATATGAAAAAGAAGTTGGGGTTTTTGTGGACTGCATTTTTGATGTGAATCAAATGTGATGTGGCTGCCAAAAAGACCATATGATCTCAGACTTTATTCGCAGCACTGTTATGTCCAGAAGCAAGATGATATCACTGCATTTGCTGTTGAGATGGTATCCAAAGGGCAATAGAAACATGTACGATTTGTTTAAGTAATAGGCTGTAACATTATCAACAATGTTTTGCACCCAAGAGATGGCACAGAAGATTAGTTAAGAGACACAGAATTAGAACAGGAGGTGGTCTGGTAATGTAATGAGACTTAGTGGTAACAGCCAGACAGTTGAGGCATTACAGTGGTACCTACGTGATATTAAAAGACCAACAGAGATCACTTCCAGAGGGAAGATTTATGGGAGGATGAGAACAAAAATTAAACAGGGAAGAGTGGATGGCTTGTGATCTATAATCTGTACCGTTAGAACAATTACCTGCATGGATAAAATCATGGATCCACTAAAAAGATTCAAGTGCTGTAAGGTCATATCTAGAGAACCTTTTTTCTGTTTTAGGTGCCACCTTTTAAGACAGTCACTGACAAACTCAAGCATGTAATTTATATATCAATATCTGTTGTTTGGTTATTTCAGTATCTTCTTAATCCCATTTGGGGTCTTCTTGGCAAAGTTACTGGAATGGTTTGCCATTTCCTTTTCTAGATGAGAAAACTAAGGCAAACAGGGTTAAGTGACTTGCCCAGGGTCACAGAGCTAGTAGATGTTTGAGGAAAGAATTGAATTCAGGAAGATGAGTCTTCCTGACTCCAGGCGCACTCTATCTACTGCACCACCTAGCTGCCCCATATCAATATCTATCTATCAGATATAGATAGATAGATAGGTAGTCAGTAGATTAAGGGGGTCTGGAAGTTAGGTCACTTGAGGAAAGGTTGAAGGTTTTTACCTAGAAAATGATAGGCTTTAGGGGGAACATGTCAGATGTCTTTAAATGTAGGAAAGGCTAAATGTTAGTTATGAAAATGATGATAATGGTGATATGAGACTGGAAGTAGACTTATTCTGTGTGATACCAAGGGCAAAAATGTGAATAGACCCTCTTGTGTCTTTACCAAGTTGAAACTGGAGATATTTAACCTGGAAAAGAGAAGATTCATGGGGGACAGGATAGCTGTCTTAAACCATAAAAAGGTTATCTTAAGGAAAAGGGATTAGGCTTGTTCTGCTTAGTCCCAGAGGCACAATGAGAAATATTGGATTTAATTTGCAAAGAAGATGATTTAGGCTTGATGTAAGGAAAAACCACGAGTCCCAGATAATCTGAGTTATCCACAAATGGAATGGGTTTCCTCAGGAGATCTGTAGGTTTTCAGTAAAGGATAAGACAACTACTTCATCATTTATGATATAGAAGGGATTCTTTTTCAGATCTAGGTTATATGAGATGACTTCTGAGGGCCCTTACAACTATGAAATATGGGGAAGTTAGAGGAAAGCAATTTTTAGTTTAATATGATAAATAATTTTCTATCATTAGAACTATTTCCCACCTCCATCTCCCAAAAGAATAGGAGGGACCTTAGACACTATTGACTTCAATTCTTTCCCTTTACAGATGGGGAAACAGAGGTCCAGAGAGGTTAGTAACTTGTCCAAAGTCACACAGGTAGAGAAAGACAGGATTGGGGCCTTGAACCACGGTCCTTGACTCCAAATCCTCTGCTTTTCCCATGTTTCACCTGCCTCCTTTTCTTCATTGAGGTAGTTTCCCATTTTTTTCTAGCACAGGGTATATGACTGACTACCCTTTAGGATTAGGAATGCTATGGAGAGAATTTATGGATCAAGTGGGAGGCTGGATTAAATAAGAATTAACAATGGTTGATATTTATATGGCATTTGATAGTTACAAGGCATTTTATGTGACGTTCATCTAACCAGATGACCTCCAAAGTCTCTTTTCTTTCTAAGATTCTGATTCATTTCTTGTGATTGTGAAAATTAACCTTCTGTGTGATTCCTCTCTGTAATGGGAATGTACCGAGGAAGAAATAAAAGGGCAGGAAGATAGAGCCAGATAATAAAATGGACTGAGTGAGACATTTTTCTTTGAGTTACTTCCATTCAGGTTTCAAACTTCCTTGTGACTACCAAGAATATGATCAATTTTTATCCCTGTAGCACAATCTTACCTTTTATTTCCAATTCCAGGAAATTTTTTTCCACCAAAGCCCCAAGAAGCCAAATCAGCTTGCTAACCACAGATGAGCTGTCAAGCCTCTTTAGAGAATGGAATCTTGACCTACCTTCTCACTTTACTAATAAAGTTGATTGGTCCATGCAAATCTGTATTTTCATCTCACCTGTCATGGTATCTTTCCTGGAAGTATGTTCTCCTTTAGTTCCATGGTAAGTGGCATTTGTTCCAGTGGACTCATAATCTGTCTTCCTCTCTTTGAGGCTGATCATTTCTCGAGGTGAGGCTGGGGCACTTGCTAATGGGGGAAAAAACAAAAACAATTTTTTTTGGGTTCTCACAATTTGGCCTATACATATTTTATTAGCTTTGCTATAAATGTTGCTTTTACATTAATAACATAAGAATTTGTACTTCAAAACTTATTTTTTGTATATACATATGTTTAAAAATATGTATTGCCAATAAACTTAGTTTTTGATTGCCTCCTTTTCAAATACACAGACATGGATAGTCAGATGTATATCATTCAACAATCAGAACTATGGGGATAATTGGTTTGGTGGTATGTTCCCAAAGTGAATGTCTTGTGTTAAAGAGAGGTGGCCCAGGAGGCATTATGAATATGTAGCCTGGGCTATTTTTTGGATACTCTATGAATAGTACAACTGTATCTTTACTTTATGTAAAAAATGAAAAGCCAACATGGCTTCAATATGAACTGGTCATGACAGAAAAACCTCATCGTGGGAAGGTAGATATAGTTTAACTAGATTTTAGTAAAGCATTTGACAAAGTCTCATGCTACTTTTATGGACAAAATGTTGACAGAAAATATTACAGTTAGATTTGGAACTGGTTGTGAGCAGCTGCACTCAAGCAATAATCATTAATGGCTAAATGTCAGCTCAGTAGAAGATCTCCAGTATAGTGCCCTAGAGATCTTTGGTTGTCCCAGTGTCCTTTAGCAATTTTGTCAATGACCTAGAAAAGACATGGCAGCTAGGTGGTACAGTGAATAGAGCAGTGGACCTGGAGTCAAGAAGATCTGAGTTCAAATTTGGCTTCAAACACTTACTAGCTGTGTGACCCTGCGCAAGTCACTTAACCTTGTTTGCCTTAATTATATAAGATGAGCTGGAGGAAATGGGAAACCATTTCAGTAGCTTTGCCAAAAATACCCCATATGGGATCACAAAGAGTCAGACATGACTGAAACAAACCAGCAACAACAACAACAAGAAAAGATATGGATGGCATGCTTATCAAATGTGAATCTGATACAAAGCTAGGAGGAATAGCTATCACGTTGGATGAAAAGGTCAGGAAACAGAGAGGTCTCAACAATATAGAGTAACCCTCAGGCTTAAAATTAACTTCATTAAGTAGAAAATGAAAAGTACCTACATAGCAATTCTGAAAAAAGTTCATTTGGGGCTTTTTAGTGGACTATAAACTAATATGAGTCACCAATGTAATATGTCAGTCCCAAAAGCTAATGTAGCTGTAGGCTATGGAGTATCCACAACCAGGAAGCCATAGCTCTGCTTTACTGTGTTCTGATCAGACCACACCAAGAGTATTTTGGTGAGTTCTGGGCACCACATTTTGGGAAGAATATTGATAAACTGGAAAGTATTCAAAGGAGGGTGAAAGGCTTTGATACCATGTTATAGTGGAATTAGTTGAAAGAATTTGAGATGTTCAGCCTGGAAGAGGGAAGATGGTGGGGGACATAATAACTCTCTTTAAATATTTGAAGGGCTATGCTGTGGAAGAGGAATTACTGTTCATACCTTCAAAGAGAAGAACTAGGAGCAGTGGATGGAAATTGGAGAGGGAGGGAGAGCGAGAGAGAGAGAGAGAGACAGAGACAGAGAGATTTTTAAGATTGATGTAAATAACAGCAACCCCAAAGTGGAATGATTGTCTTGGGAGTCGGTGGGTTTCTCCCTCACTTGATATCTTTTAGTAGAAGTTGAACAACCTCTTGTTGACTTTTTTTTTTTTGGAGGGGAGGTCAGGAGTGTAGAGACAATTCTCATACACAGTGGATTGGATAACCTTCTTCCACTCTGAGAAAAGGAGACTTTATCTTCTTTGATGTGAGCAAATCTCTATGTTAACAGGCAGTAAATCTAAAAGGGCGACCTACACAAGGAGGTAGTAAGTAATTAAAGCACAAGGCACAGTATTGTCCTGCTTCCCTATGATATATAACAACAGTATTTAAAATGCTTTGACCCTCATTCAAGATCTTGTCAGATCTTAAGAGAAAGATTTACAAGAGATTCCTGGAATCTCTGGGATGCTTCTTGCTCCTTGGGTTTAGGCAAAGTGCTCAGAGTGAGCTCTACTGGGGAAGAGATGATATAAACTTTTCTTGCATATAATATCTCTTAGAGAATAGATATGATTGTAGAGGTCTGTTTTTTCTTATACACAATGCAGTTGAGCAGTGTCTTTCCAGACTTATTAGACATTACTCACCTTCAAACACTATGGTTCAACCAAACTGGCCCTCTTGCTATTCCTCACATACAATATTCCATTTCTCATCTCTGTCCCTTTACAGAGGCCATTCCTGATGCTTGGGAATGATCTCTCTCCTCACCTCTGCCTCTTAGAACCTCTCACTTCCTTCAAAGCTAAGCCCCAGTGCTAGTTTTAATATGAGGTCTTTCTGGATTTACCTAGCTGACAGTGTTCCTGCCAAAAAACATCTCTTCTATTTAATTTGTATACATTCATATATGTGTATGTTGTTTCTCTCAATAGAATGTAAGTTTCTTGAGGGCAGGAACTATTTATTTAATCCCTAGTGCCTAGCATATTGTAAATGCTTAATAAATGCTTGCTGATTAAGATTCTCCATCCCAGTATAGTCTCAAATACTATTTTTCTCTGACGCTCATTCACGCTTCAATGTATCTTACAAAACCTTCAGCAAACTCTCATACACCTTTTGAAACTCTGCCACTTTGGACAAGTCATGTAAGTTTTCTTCTGTGCTTCAGAAGCCTTGACTATAAAGTCCCTTCCAAATTGTTAAATTCTACCAATCTAGAATTCCATGAAAAGTGGATAAGAGGGAGGGTGAAATGAATTTCTAAGCAAGGGAGAAAAGAAATGAAAGTTAGAATGGCTGTGTGCTTCCAGGGTAATAGTTATTGAATAGCTAGAACCATCAGGGCTGCTGCTCTACAGATATGTGGGAGGAGATATAATCTGTCTAGTGAGAAACAAAGTAATGGCAGTGTATTATAGGGAATGATAGCATATTGATTTATGTTCCTATAAATGATGGTCCTCAATTAATTGTTGTCTTCTTTATTCTATCTCCACAAAATTACCTTCTACATTCCCATACCTGTACCACGTTAGTTCAGGCCCTTATCACTTCTTGCCTAGATTTTTTCCACAGTCTCCTAGTTGGTTCTCTTCATCCAGCTTCCCCGTTCCCTAGCCAAATTCATTCTTCACACAAATGTCAAATTGATATGTCCTAAGCACTGATCTGACCATGTCACTCACCTGTTCAAGAAACCCCATTGGCTCCCTACTACCTCTAGGACAAAACACAAACTACTGTTTTATAACCTAGACCCAACCTATATTTCCAGGCTTATTACACATAATTACATGTATAAATCAGCCAAACTGGCTTATTCACTGTATTCCATACATAGTATTCTACCTCCATATTTGACTCTGCCTGCAATATACCCCTCCAGTTGTTAGTTCTCCATCCCTATAGAAATAATTTTTCAAATTGTATATAAATTTTAGATTTACTTATCTGAGAACATGGTGTATCACCCAGTAGTTTATATGTACCATGAGATAAGGGACTGTTTCACCTTTGCATATATATCCCTAGGCCTAGTACAGTTCTTGCTACATAGTCAATGTTTAATAAATGCCTGATGATTGATTACTTAGTCAACTGTGTTAAGTTTGACATGTTTTTGATCTTGTCACTCCTTGCTCAAAAATCTTCAGTGGCTCCCACTTGTCTACAAACCAACAGCAGAATTGTTTAGCATTTGATTTTTGCTTGGTTTTGGTCCCTGGTTTTCCTGTTTTATCAGAATGTCTTATTCCCTGTCATTGCTACTGAGCTCTAGAAGGCTGCTATAGCTGCTTCTAACTTCCACTTCCCTCCTTCCCCTTTTCTTCTTTCTTTCGTCCTCCTTATCACTCTTCCTTGTCACTCCTCCCAAAATCCTTTGCTTTTATTCAAATAGGTAGATATTTTGTAGACACTGTCACTAGACATTAAAGGACTATGTTTGGGAGATGCTTTTTGCCCTAACTTTTAAAATACTAGAGTTTAATATTTCACAGGTGTCCGTGTTTATTAAACCATTCCATATATGTAATTATTCCTTGATATTTCAACTGAGTGACAATAATGACCCAATTCTCTCTTTTTCCCTCCTTTTTTTTTTTTTTTTTGGCTAGGCAATAGGGTTAAGTGACTTGCCAAGGTCACACAGCTAGTAAGTGTAAAGTGTCTGAGGCCGGATTTGATCTCAGGTCCTCCTGACTCCAGGGCCAGTGCTCTATCCACTGCACCACCTACCTGCCCCTAAAATACTTTTTAATCTATCCTCTCATTTCATCTTTGCAACATCCTTGTGAATTATTGCTGTGCTAACTGTAGTTCTTATCAAGTGGAGAGGAAAAAGGGTAGCAATCAACTAATCTAAAGCTATTATTCTTCCTTACATTGTAGTGTATTATGGGAAGAATAGAGGAATGATCATAGTTACTCTGGCATAAATAACTGAAATTACATGAGAACTGCCACGCTGTAGCCACAATCCTTCTGACCAATACTGTGCCTCACAGAGGCAGCCCTGCAGAATGACTGGGAAGGAACCTCCGAGGTTATCCAGTCCAGGTGTCAAACATGCAGGCCCAAATGCTTCTGAGTACAGTAGAACTAAAGTAAAATGTAAGTGGGAGATATTTTTAAAAACAAATAAAAATAGTTTACATCTTAAAACTAAGCCAATATAGGGCCCACAGGGACCCTTAGGTACAGATTAGTGGCCCTTGTATCCATCTGAATTTGGTAACACTTATCTAGTCCACACTTTATGTGCAAAGGAATCTCCTCTGCAGTGTTCCTCAGAAGGAATCATCTAGTCTCTGCTTGAAGACCTCCAGTCATGGGAAATTCATTACCTCCCAAAGCAAAATACTCTGCTTTTTTGTTGGTCAGTTTTCAGTTGTGTCTGATTCCTTATGACCCCATTTTGCATTTTCTTGGCAAAGATACTGGAATGGCTTGACATTTTCTTCTCCAGCTCATTTTACAGATAAGGAAACTGAGGCAGACAGTGTTAAGGGACTTGCCTAAGGTCACACAGCTAGTAAGCCTCAGAGGCCAGATTAGAATTCAGGAAGATGAGTCTTCCTGACTCCAGGCCCAGACCTGAACCACTTAGCTACCCTCAAAGTGATCTCTCCCTCCTTAAATTTCTCACAGTCCTTTGCCAGCACCCCTCCCTTGTCATATTCTTCCTTGAATCATAGCTACTTGTATACATGTATTCTTTCTATCTCCACCTTCAGAGTGAAAGTTCCTTAAGAACAGGGCCTGTATCTATATATCTTTACATTCTAGGTGTTTATTTAGAACAGTATCTCATATGTAGTAGGTGCTTTCAAACTTTTTTTCTCTATTGACTAGGTGTATATATGCAAATGTGGTGATTTCCAGTATGAAGAAATATGCTCTCTTTTTGGGAGAGTTAAATATGTATGAACCTAAAAACTGATCTTGTGCTAGCTGATTTTCCATTATTTTTTAGAAATAAGAGACTGGATTTTTGATAAAGCAAATCCAGACTTGGAGATGGTTCCAAGAGACCTTTTTACTATATTCTCGTCTTATGATCATCCTTATTATATACAAGTAGAGGTCTGCCAGGAAGCTCAGTGATTGACCGAAGGTCAGACTGTTAGTTGACAGCAGTTTAAGATTCTCTGTCTCTAGTCTTATTGTCAGTCCAAGTGTTTTAAACCCTATTACACTGAAACATGTATTCTTCCATTTGGATGGGAGAGTATAATTTATTCCGGTCAGGTTTCTCCTATATTTTTTCTGAGTTTCTTCATCATTCAGACAAGTCTTAGGTAACTATTCACACTGTAAATTCTTGTATAAGGTTTTATGAGAAACTTTTTCAAGGCCAGCTAGGATATTTTTGATGCCATCTACCATGCTACCCTCTGACCCAGCTTTGGAAAACAAGAACTCTTTGGCAGGGGAAGGAAGGGAAAGCCTGAAGAGAATTCTTTTATTCTAAATATATCTCTCTACAATAGAGACTCAGAAAAGTGAGATGACATTTCCACCATCTAAATAACAATGAAAACCATGCTTCCTGCATGACTGTAGTATGTTCTGGGAAGCTTATTCCTGCTTTCTTAAGTAAGCCATGCTAATGCATGATTTAATGTGGTTTAGAAAGAGTAGAAATAAGTATAGGGTCTATAGTTGGAGAACTTGGGTCTAAATCCTACTTCTGATGGTTCCTATCAGTGTTACTTTGCATATGTCATTCAACAACCCCTGCCTTCAGTCTCCTCATCTGCAAAATGGGGCCAAGGTGGCTTTTGGGGTCCCTTCTAGCTCAAGATTCACTGTCCTGTGAAATATAGTATATCTTAGAGGAAATGACTAATGTAAGCTCAAAGCTAAGTGACAAGCTGAGTAAGTATATGGAAAACTTAACTGAATCACTTAAATGTCCTTAGTCAATAAAATAGCAGTTTATTCATGCTCCAACTGATGGGTTGAGTGTACAGTATAAATAAACACTACTAAGATTCAGTCTAGCACTAAAAGTCCAGAAGAAGTGTCTGGAGCTGGAAGGCTTTCCATTGTTGTCCAAAAGACTTCTCTTTGTTCAGAACTATTTTTATGACTGCCACTGAAGTGTTACTTAAAGGACTCTGACTCTGGAAGCTTTCCAAGGAAGTAGTAGTTACATGATAGTAGAAATCTGCCCTTTTCTTTTCCATTATTGGATTCTGGTCAATGCTGATGGGTTAGCCCACATAAAATAATGTTAGCGATTTATGGCAGTGCTCACTTTACAATTTCCATAAACGTGTCACTAAAAAGGATATCTATATCTACAAACATACATATATGTATACATACATATATACATATATATACATATGTGTGTATATAAACACACACACAAATTCATAGGACCTGAATGCCCTCCTCCCCCAAGCATGGTGTTTTGATCAACTAAGATGCTTTCATCTTTGTTAGACACATGTGTTTTGCTTATTATTGGCACCTTCTTACCTGAGCGATTGTTAGGAGACATGCGCACAGGAGAAATGGAGGGTGTTCGTGATGAAGAATACGGTCTTTGCCGATCTCTTTCTATTGTTGAAGATGAGGCTACAAAGTGATACTGTGACCATCCATCCTGGGGGGAAAAATAGAATGCTCACTGAGTTCCTCTTAAGTCAGGAGGCAGTTTCCTGATTACTTACCTAATGCCATTCTGAATTTACAAAAAAGAAAAAAAATCACTTTATTAGAGATTACGGAGCCTGCTGAATGATATATTGGTTTCCCTTTTTAATATGAGAAGAGAGGGAGAAAGGGAAATGAACCTTTCCTCTGCTATAGACAGAGAACCCTATAAGAAATTTTGTCTTTTACTACTAGATTTTGGCTTAAGAGTTTGAATAAGTTGATTTTCAAAAATGCTATAGTCAGATGCTTTTACTTAAATAGAATTACTGTGCTCATGAATTCTGATGACTCCTGGACTTAGCTTCCCCCCTTTAGGGTTATCATAAAATAAAACCTTTGACATATGAGAGGCTAGCACTTCCCTTTCTTATGTTTCCACCTTGGGATTTCCCTAGTTCTGCTGACTAACCTCTGCTTAGCCTTCTGAGCAATTATAGGGTTCTTAGGATCAGCCTATTAATCTGGCAGTCAACAAAACTCCTAGTACCTGTGCTTCATTCATTTCCCTTGCTTTTCTCCACTTCCCTGTCTCCCACCTCAATTCTCTCAATCTGCCTCTCTCCATCAAAATCTCCATCAATTGTAAAATTGGTTTATTCTTACTATCACCAGTAAAATGCCAGTTGATGTCTTCATGGTCATATCTTAAGTTGGCCTGAATTTGAAAGGTGAGTTCATTAATTTAGCCCAGGAACTGTATTTTACTTCTCCTTTTAAATTCATGTAGGTCATATATGTAAAAACATTGTGCAAACTTTAAAGCAATAGGTAAATATCAATTATTATCATTTTACTTGTTCTGGGTATCCTATTTCTTGATCAGTGTCTTATATGACCGCTGTGACACTTGACAATTTAAGGTGCTACTAACTTATGAATATCTACCTGTAGAATTAAGACTAAGTGATATAGCGACCACTTGCATAGGACTGGACTCATTTAACTGTTGTACACTGAAACCACAAGCACAAGTTCCATTTGGGGAGATTCCTTTCCCAGGCAGAAGAAACACTTGCATTAAGCAGAGTTTATCATAATCCTTTATCCTTGAATGCTAAGTTGATATATTGTCACATCACTTGTAACCTCTTAGCTGGCCTATTAAAAGTTAAAGTTTTTTTTTCCTTCTTTGTAACTTTTGAGAGATACCTGATTAGACTATACACCTACCTGGCCCTGAACTCCTCCCCAACCTAGGATGAGAAAATGATAGCTTCTTCTGATGTGATTGTCAGGGAAATTATTAGAAATATGTACAAGGAAGGCTTTCTACCCTTTGATAACAATCACCTTTCAAGGTTACTGAATATATATCATTTTTAGGCTAATTATGAGAAACTGTCCCGTATAGTACTACTACCCCATCCTGATAGCCACTTGTGTCTAAGGTCACTGAAATTATCAAATATGTGTCAAATCTCAGCGGCCTATAAAACCAATTATGAACTAAGAAAGACTGTACATCAGTTCAATTTTATATACTTTGGCCAATCAGTTCTCTCAAGGATAGATCATAAAGAAAGGTTTTATTGATAACTTAGGTCAGAAATAGAGGCTTTAAATTTTTATAGAAGGAAGAACGACTTAGCTACAACTTTCCCTTTGCTGAAGAACTCTGTTAGTGAAGATCAATTACTACTTGTCCTCCACAGATGCAGGAACTAAGTAAATATGAATATTCATCATAGACTTGGGAGGAATGTGAGGCAGTTATATATCAGGAAGAGACTCTGTTACCTTAGGACATTGCCAGCTATATTCTCTTCTATACTAATCTACACCTGCTTATATGTTATGCATTAGATTCTGCACATGATCATACATTTAGAGAGCATCTTCTAACTATCAGAGAATAAAGAAATGGTCAATGTTGAGAAAGACATGCATACTAATTCACCATTGGTGGAGCTGTGAATGATTTCAACTATTCTGTATATCAGTTTGGAATTACGCAAGAAAAGTTACAAAACTGTCCTTTAACCAATGATGCCAATACTGGAAATATACTTCATGGGAGTCATGGACATCATATACCAAATGATTCTTAGCATTGCTTCTTGTGGAAGCAAAGAACTAGACACAAAGTGAGTGCCATCAGTTGGTGAATGGTTGAAAAAAAACTATAACGCAAGAATATGATAGAGCAAGCAACAATAAAAGCACTTAGTATAGTGTTTGGTACATAGCAGGAACTCCATAAGTGTTTATTCCCTTCCCCTTTATTAAATTATTAAAAATTATGAATTCTCAAAAACACTAGAAGAATCCTTTGAACTGATGGAATGTGAAATAAACATGACTAAATGACCACTATACACAATAACTACAACAATGTAAATGGAAATGTTACTAAAAAGAAGATGAATATGAGTAAGAAAAAAAATGGTCCTGGAGAACAGAGAATTAAATATGCTTTATTCCTCATGGTAAAGGGACAGCAGACTACTAGGGTAGAATATTGGACACATTCTCAAAAGGAGTCACTGAATGGGGTGCTTTTGCCGAACTATTTTTCCTTGTTACAAGGGAGGGTACAATCTTAAGGGGGGAGATTCCCTTCCCCATCTCGCTGTTACTATAATGCAATGTCAAAAAGCATCAATAAAATTTCTTTTGAAAACATAAAAAATTTGAGGGATGAGCAGGGGATATTGATCACCTCTGTAGAATCTTAGTTCTTGCTTTATTCCCTAGACATCATTACACTCCTCTTGTGAGTCTTCAAAATTCCAAATTAAGGGGGAAGGTAGGTGATCCAGTGGATAGAGCAGCAGCCCTGGAGTCAGGAGGACCTGAGTTCAAATCTAGCCTCAGACATTTACTAGCTATGAGACACTAGGCAAGTCATTTAACCCCAATTCCCCCACCACCACCATCAAAAAAAAAATTCCAAATAAGCTCCAACTTCTTATCTACTCAAAATTCCAAATACGTGATCATCATCTAATTTATCCTTTTCCCCTGTGTAAACCTGCAGGTTTATAAAGAAAAATTGCTCTTTTCCATTTTTCTTCTGGCCCTCTTTATATAAAATTTGTCAATCTAAGTTTAAATGTATTTTTAAAAACCATTTGCATAGCAGGGTAAAGTTTAATTAGAAATAGGGTTGCTAGAGCATTAATGCCTATCCTCCAAGTATGTATATGGCTAAAGGTTTTAGAACCATAGAGTTAGAGCCAAGGGGTCCTTTAAGGTTGTCTAGTGCAAGCTCTCTTTTTGCAAATGAGAGCTAGACAGTTTAAAGAACTTGCCCATGGTCATACAGGGAGTAAGGGTTTTCTGATTCCAAATGCAGCACATTTTCTCTATCTCATGCTTTCTCCTGAAAACTTTTAAAAAAATTGTTTTCATTAGTCCTGTGCCCCTTGACCTTCATAATACTTGCTTATATATAAAAATTTGCATGTTGTATTTGAGATGGAATCTTTTTGATTAACCTAGATATTTCTGAAAAATCTTCTTCTACCTAGTCATGTAACTCAAAGCTATTATTTTTAAAAATTCAAATTTTAGTATCAATATATTTGAAAATCTCATTCATTGGTTTTAATGATCAGAAAATCAAAAATTTAAAATTGCTATGTCTCAAAATCACTTAATTCCAGAGACAATGAAAACAAAGTCGTTTAGTACTTTTAAACCCAATCTATTCTGTGTACCAGTAAGCTAAGTTCTCTAGCTCATATAGCTTTTCCATATATATAATATATATGTATATATATAATATATATATATATATATGTATATACTCATGGACAACGGGGGTAGAAGAGGGGATGGGAACTATCCAGGTTCAAAGGATAGATTCTGTGAGATGTAGGAGGAAGAAATACTTATTTTAGGTTTATAAGATTTTTTTTTTAAATCTAAAGAATTTTGGCAGCAAATGCTTTGTTGACTAATTAAAATTTGCTCTAGTATATTCTATGAAATAGAATTTGGAAAACCCTAATGACTCTGATTCCAGATAGAATTTTTTTTAAAAGGCCATACATTTCTGTTCTTGGATATTTCCAAGGAATATGATTTGACTTAATTGGTCAATTAATAAATATTTGTTAACCACCTACTCTGCATTAACCACTGTGTTAGGTGCTGGGGGTACAGATACAAAAAAAAAAAAAAAGAAATAATCCCTACTCTTAAGGAGCTTACATTATGATATATTTCACCTGACAATGAAGATACTGTTTCACTGACAGAACTCCAAATTAAACCAAATGGGTGTTTATCAATTTGGTAGCTGTTTCATTTGGAAAAAATACCATAAGATATAACCAGGGGTACCCAATATACTCCTTGAGAAACTCTACCATTAGCAAGACCCCTAATTCCTACTATTATTAATAAATGGTAATGTTCAACAATTGCATAGTATTTTTTAATCCAAGGATCTCAAGGTCCAACACAAATGAAGTGCCTAACATTCTATAATATTCTAAGATTGATAGAGTTGGAGGGTATAAACACAAAATGACTCCATTATACACACACACACACACACACACACACACACAGAATTATATAAGTATGTATACACATATATATGTATAATAAATAATATGTATACACATATTTTACTGAAAGAGAAAAGTCTCTGTCTTATACTAATCAAAGTTATTTTTTTAGCTGTTGTCCAAGTTCCATGGAATGGTATTCTGTCTAGAAATGATTAGAATATGATCCCATTGTGAGACTGGGGTGTGTGTGTGTGAAGGAATGTTGTTTCTTTTTACATACTGGTAAGCTGAAATATGCAGGATGCAGAAAAGCAGAGAATTTGTTCACAGCTTTTAATGTATTGGGAAGGATTTCTATTAATTATTTGTATATTTGATGTTTTTTTATTTCTGAAAAATTTTAAAATCATTACAAGCCATGATTTTTGCTTAGTGCCTTATTATTTTCACTGTGGCTATCTATAGTTGCCCTTCATAACATCTAATC